CTAAAACCCTACATAATTTTCTTTTCCCGTTGAAAAGAAAATGTTCTTCTGATTCTGAAAGTAAATATTCTTCTGATTCAGGCATTTTCATTAAATCAAGACTACTACGATGTAAACTTTATAAAGTTTATTATCTATGCCGATTTTCTTGTTGATATCGGTACGCATACAACGACAGATCTCTATTCACATACGCGACGACTAATCACAATCTACCCGTATAGAAATGATATCATCGGGAGCGAATGACGAATCATTGACACCGTTGCATTTGTACGGATTTACACCCTAGTCGCGCCTAAAGAAGTTTAATTCAAAATAAAGATTGTATTTTAGCAGCGCGCTATACAGAATTTTGTCGCAAGCTATATTTATACTGCGCGCTGCTAAAATGCAAACTGTGATTAATTTTTAAAATTGAACCGCTTTTCTAGGCCTGTAATATTTACATCAGTCAGTTTGGGTATAAAATCAACCATTATGCCTAGTTTCATCAAAATACTATGCGAGAAAAGAACGAGTTCTTCTTGTTAGTCAAGAAGTGTGGAAATATATATATGACATAGGTATGAAAGTTAATGATGAAGCCAACGAAATTTTTGTAAGAATATATAATTAGGCCAATCTTATTATACTAGTTCATTAAAACGTCTATATACACATAAAATTATAATTTGAATTTCTCAATACAACATTTATCTCTCTATGAAATTATTTTTTATTTTATTAAGAGTGCATGTATTATAAAAATTAAAAACGTACATGATTAGCATCCTTCACGCACTGAACTTTTCGAATTATTTATAAATATGACGATTTGTCAGCTCGGGTACTGAACAGCTAAGTGACTTAATTTTTAATATTAAAACGGATTAAGAAACTTAAGAGAGTAGATCATCAAATTATCAATATAATTAAAATATTTTACATGAGATAAAATGCAAGATTATTTGACTACTTATAAGTTCTTGCCGTATGAATCGTTGGCTTATTATATGTGTGTACATAATATATATGTATATATATATATATATATATATATGTTATATATATATATGTATATATTATTCTGTGAAAGGGTCGTGACCTTTTCACAGAATGACACGAAGCACAAATCTTAAGTCGAATCGATATTTCATGAAAATTGCGGTTGTGCATCACAAGCTCTCAACATTTTAGTACTATTTTGTTTTAAAAAATAAAAAAAATAATTACTAACTACTAATTTGCCTGTTTTAAATAAAAAATAATAGTGTCGAAATATATGAGTAAGATTTAAAAACTACTTATTAGCTTGACTGTGATCATGTGATGCAGAACCATCTTTTTGAAGTAAAGGAAAAATTCTAAATAATACTTTTTAACTTTTTTTAGCTTTTTTTTTCATATTACTCTTCGTGACTTTGATTTTATTTGAAATTAATATTTATTTTATTTTAAATTTACAAATATAAAAAATAACAGTTGGTCATGTTTTTATTAGTTTGCATAGAAAGACAATAGAGACACAATCATTGAGCACAAATTAAAATAGTATCAAATTTTTTATATCTTATAATATTTCTACATCACTTTTCGTAAAAAAGTTTTTATAAAGCTTTTAAAAATTTGTGAAATTTAAAAATGAGTATTTTCCATGAAATATTCCATATAATTTTCTTTTTAATTTACAAAGATCATTTTAAACTATGATTAATTTTTTTGTGCTACAAATCGTAAGCGTACAATCATATAATCATTCGAAATTATTATTTTTTACTCAAGATTTAACATATATACAAATTATTCTTATCACAAATTAAAAATTATCCTTTGTTCTCTATAAATTTATTGATTGATTCAAAATACGTATGTGATCGAATAACATTTAATTTAAAATTCTTAGATTTATTTTATTTTATCTTTATTTTATGAGGATCTCCTAATTATGTTTGGATTTTAACTTTAATCTAATTTGAATACTTAAATTATTATTTCTCACTCAAGATGTAACATATATACAAGTTATTCTTTTTACAAATTATAATTATTATTTATTTTCTAGAAATTTATGGATTTAAAATACGGATGTGACAGAATAACATTTAATTGAAAATTTTTAGATTTATTTTATCAGTTTTTTTATTTTTATGAGAAACTTCTTATTATGTTTGAATTTTAATTTTAATCTAATTTTAATACTTAAATTATTATTTTTTACTCAAGAATTTTTACTTAATATATGTTAATATTCAAAATATTCTTATTATAAATTAAAAATTATATGGTCTTCTATAAATGTATTGATTCAAAAGTACATATGTGACCGAATAACATTTAATTTAATTTTTTTTTAATTTTTATGAGGATCTTCTAATTATGTTTGGATTTTAATTTTAACCCTTTTAATTATGGAAGATAATAGAGTTTCTGAAAAAATGAGTCAATTTCCAATTGTTTCCAAATGATATTTTTGATTTAAAATTTTGCTACATGTATTTTGCGTTTGTAGAATTAAGGATTGTGTGCCCGAGCAAGACTTGTTCCCAACTGTCTACTAATTCTCAGTGCTCAGGTAACGCAAGGATGCTAGAATTTCGCAATAAACCACATTATCGTCAATTGGAAAATTTAAAAATTAATAAAAAATTGAAAATTTGCACTTGCTTTGCATAAAATTTATGGTTTCGTGAGAAATACACGTGAAATTTGTATATGAGCGATCCTTTTAAAGTGGTGGCAGCGGGTAACCGAATTTTGTACTCCAAAAAAGAGCTCCTTGAACCAAAATAAATTTTAACCGAAAAGGAAATAAATAATAATGTTTTTTCATATATTTTTTTAGAAACAAATGCTTCCACTTTAAATGAAACAATTTATTTTAAAATTTTTTGATAGTGATTCGATATATTTTAATGAACTGTACTTGCAATTGGCGCTAATATGGTTACAAACAAACTCACTAGATATATTTAAGTATTATTCGTATGTATGTATATATGTATATATGAGTGTATACATGTATGTGTGTATATGTATGTATGTATGTAGGCATGTATGCATAGATCATTAGTTTAGTTACACACATGCACAACAATATTTTATCAAAAAATAGCATTATTTGCATCACCTATATTAATACGTCAGGTTATTGCATTGGGATTTTGGACTAGATAATTTTATTTTGTGTAAATAATTTTTTATACGTTTTTTTCTATTTTCTGCGCCGAGCCACTACACCAATGCATTTTTAAAAAGGTCGACAATATCACAATAATTTTTATGATGAAATTTGTATATAGACTAGCTGCTATTTTATGCATATGATTGATATGATTTGATTTAACCTGGTTAAATGTACCCATCATCCTCTGTTATTGTGGTCCATTCTATAAATATTAGATATGAATGTTTTGTAAATATTCCCCCGTAGAAATTATATGTCTGATGTTTATCTCGGACTGTTTTAATTGTACATTTTAATGTTACTAATTTTGATATGTATTTTTTAAATGACGTCGTTGTGGATAATCATAATATTTTATAATGGTTCTAAATTTGAGCGAATTATTTGGATATAAATTTATATTATTATATCTATTATTCGTAGATATTTAATAATGATCTTAGTTATTCAAGTTGTTTATTTGTCTTCAACGACTATAGTATACTGTATGTATACAATAGCATATTTAAATATTTTTGTCATCTCAAAAAAAGTATGTGATTACTCTAATAATTCAGAATTTCTTGAATTTTTTTAAAAAAAATATTAAAATATAAACGTTTAATTAAAAAAAATAGTTACTTATACATTTATTCAAGACTGAATTTACGTATTTAAATGTTTTTAATTAGTTATTCAAAACCGTTTTTAAATGTAGTTATTAGTATTATACAAATTCCATATTCATTTCTGATATAGTGGATAAAAATATATTGACAAAAACGCAATATCGTAATTTAAATATCCGAATATACAGTTTTTTACCTATTTAATTTGATCACATTTGTGATTATTCCATACATTCAATATATCGTATATTCGATTGAACGAAATATTTTTATTAAGACAAAATATTTTGTAAAGATTTATGGACTACTTTAATTAATTATTTTATATATAACAAATCCGAAAACGCGATATGTTTCTATATTTACGTCTACATCTATTTAATATATTATATTCAAATTTAATTGCATATAATTTTTAAATCATGGTTTTAAATTCAATTTTTTTTTCATCATAAAGATTTGAAATTGAGTAGATTTTTCAAGCAGAAATTCTTCAAGAAAAAATTACTTGAAAATTTAAATTTGTGCATGTAACCGAAGAAAGTTTTCGCAGAAGTCTTACGGAGAAAACAGAACTTGTAATTTGCAATTTATTTAAGTATTTATTAGTAATAAAAAGGTACTTTTAGTTAAAAAAATATTTGAATTCACAATTGTTTCTGCTTTTCTTCATAAGTAATTTGGAAACATTTTATTAAAATTAACGATACTGAAATCAATGCGAATCAGTCAAGAATTTAGGAACTAGATGTCATATCATCGATGTAGTTGTATAAAGTGTTTGTTGTTTTTATGAACCACTATAAAATATTTTAAAAACTCTTATTTTCATTGACAGTTGTTCAAATAAAATTGTCTAAACCATGACAAATTATTTAGTCTTAGTCTTTTTCAGTCTGAGAAAAGCATTCACGATTAAAACATCATTCTAATAATGGTATTAAAAGGCTGATCTTTAACAACACGTATTGCATTTTGATATGTAATATATATAATATTTACGATTGCACTGATGTAGTAACTAACCGTTCATTCATCCAAAACTGAACAAAGTGGTTGAGGTGGTGTAACTAACACGATAAGGCTATTTCAAATAGTTTATGGATAGATATTTGACTAACAATTTAGTACATGAAATTATTGGTTTTGTTTTGAGTTTGTCATTGATTTTCATTGAAATGATATTTATATGACCTGAATTTATAATAATTTAATATTCTACAGCCCGGCGCCAAGAAATTGTCAAAATGACGGAGCAACTGATCGAAGCTATTAACAACGGTGATTTCGACGCTTACACGTGAGTAATAGAATTATTAGAAATTATTATTTTTTAATTCTTATATATGGGTTATCTAATAAGTTTAATTTTAATTTCAAATCATAAATAAGTTTGTGGAATATTTAATAATTTTCATTTTGAAATATAGCAAAATCTGTGATCCTCATCTGACGGCATTCGAGCCTGAAGCGCTAGGCAATTTAGTTGAAGGGATGGACTTCCACAAGTTTTATTTTGAGAACGGTAATATATAAAAAGTTTATGCATTTGAATTAATTTATTTTTTTTTAACATTGAGATATAATATAAGCTATATGTAACAAACACACACCTATAAGTAGGGCGGGGCACAAAGTTCCAATATGACTTTCAGTAATTATAATATCTAAACCAAATGAACTATATCACAAAACATGAAACGTATCAAACAAACAACTATCGAACTATGTTCAGTAAAATTCCCTGTTAATTCCTAATTATAAAAAAGAGTGCGCGTAGGGTTCACACGCGATTGAAGTAAAACTTATTTGCTACTGTACATCATGGCATATAAGTAAAAATAAATACATCATATAACAATTTTGAATAATGTTTATTAGTAATATGGTAACAGTCGTGATGCACACATTTATTAGTGTCAACCATTATATACATTTATATAATGATAAATTATAAATTATATATTTATGATAGCATTAAAAATATGTATAATATTCAAAAACAATAATATAATTAAAGTCATACTTTAAATATGACGTGATCGGTTTGTCATTGTAATTAGCATTTAGGACTTGAACCTTCATTAGAGAAATGAAATAATTGCTGATTAATAACTTCTATCTCACCTCAAACACAGTGGAATGTGTTAAACAACGCCTAAACAAATATTATTTTCGCAACTTCACTCATCATGTAATTGTGTTTGAAGAACTTCATGTAATTAAAATTAACATACATTCATTGACTGCTTGTATTTTTTTACTTTTTCGCTGGCGATAAAATCTCATTCTTTAAACAGCTGTGATGTCTGTCTTGCCTAAAAAATATTTTCCATTTTAATAACTTCAAAGATTCGGCACAAATGTTTAATTTGTTTTATTATTTTCAAGGAACAGGGTAAAATATTCTTCTGATTTAGGTATTTTTCATTGAATCAAGATTTGTACTACGATGTAACTTTATAATGTTTATCTATGCCGATTTCCTTGTTTATATCGGCACGCATACAACGACAGATTTCTATGCACATAAACGACGACTAATCACAATCTACCCGTATAGAAATGATATCATCGAGAGCGAATGACGAATCATTGGCACTCGACTCGGCCGTAACGCACTTCCGTTGCATTTGTACGGATTTACATCCTAGTCGCGCCTAAAGAAGTTTTACTTAAAAAAAAACATTTCTATAATTAGGAGTTAACTGTGAATATTGTTGTTTGTTTGTTAAATGTTATGTGTTGTCATGAAATTTAAATTAAACCTTTGTGTCTCGTCCTGCCCTATTTCTAATATTTGGAACATGTTAAAAAAATTAATTTATTAATTTGATAAAATGATTAGTCCTGGGCAAGAATTGTAAAGCTGTGAACACGACCATACTGAATCCGCACGTGCACCTCCTGGGCGACGACGCCGCTTGCATCGCCTATGTGCGACTGACGCAGTACATCGATAAGTACGTTATTTTATTTTATTATTAATAAAAACAATACTTTACATTAAACATTTATTTGCGCATTTGTTTGTTTTCAATTGTATGTTCTAATCAAAGACCAAACATTAACGTACGTTTCTGTATTTTCCTTTTCGTAATCAATATGAAAACAAGCTTTGTTATTGTAGAAAGTTGCAAGTTGGATAATGTTATTGATTGATAAGCTTTTTGGTTTATTTATTTGCTTCATTATAATATACATAAGACATTGAATCAATTGTTTATAATGTACAAAAAATATATGAACTACTTTCAGTGATGTAACTCTTTTCAGCGATGATGGTAAAAATGAGTAAAAAAAGAAGATACAGTTGAATTTTACTTATTAGTTCTATTGAAAATTATTTTTCTAATTCCTCTATTGTGAATTTGATCTAACAACTTTTTTTAGACTTTTAGTATATTCATTGACCGATTCTCTCGCACAACAGAGCAATGTTATGGCAAGGCTATGTTATGAAGAACTTTCCATACTAAATATTGACAAAAGGCTGTCAGATAGAAAACCTAACCTAGAAACCGCACAAATGTCAAAAAAAACGATCTTAGTTAGATAACTGGGTATTTCTGACCCAGCTTCATAACATACAAGTGACGTTGCAGTTTATGTGTAAAACGCCTGACTGCACAGCAAGTATATGATATTTGGACAGTATTCAGTATGATTAAGTAGCATAATGCATGAAAGTTGGAGCGTAATACGGCCTTGCCATAACATTGGTCTGTTGTACGGCAGAATCGTCTCATCAATCTTTCTGTTTTTTTATATATAAATATTTTCAATATATTTAAAACAAATATTGTCCGGCTCATTTAAAGCTAACTTCTGCCAATATGGGCACAATATTGGTAATAATGGCTCAATATTCAAATATAGCAGCACGACTCACTCCCATCTGGCCAAGATTTATTTCTACTGGTATATTTCTAAATATGCCTGAGTACCTCATTCCTGGTGTACAAATATATAATATCCAATCTAGTCCACTAGTTTTCACATCGTGATATTACTTATAAATGAGAAATGAAAATATTAAAATTAGAAAATGTGTGTTCACAGTTTCATTGTGAAATATATATTTGTAGTTTTAAGGTTTTTTGAAACCTTATTATCGTTATCATACAAAATACTAAATTTAGAAAACTTTCAGTATTCAATTACGAATTAATAATTATATGTGCAGGAATTACAAAAAGCTGCTCAAATTAGCTTTAATTCCCAGGTAAAAATAAATCGTGGCCCAATATTGTTTTCCGTGTTGGCTCTATATGGTTTATCAATATTGTCCTAACATTATATGTACTGTTAACATTTTTCATATAGAACATGGAATAATGGCAATGCAATATAGGCCCTATATGAGCCGAATATTGATAAATAATATTATATATTTTTATAAAGTTGACAATAATGCAATTAAAAATATATTTTTGAGTAAAATTACACATGCAAAATTATTTCCTGGTATGGTTATTAATTTAAAAAGATTAGATAAAATGACAAAAAATGTTTTTATTTGATTGTTCTGTACATTTTTCTATAGTAACAACTTACTTTCCTAATATAAAGAAAACGAAAAATGGTTGCCTCCTCTCTTCAGGCATGCGCAATAGAAGCGTGATATTTTGATTGAGGTTCCTTTATAAAATGATTCAAAGATTTATCATATTTTATATTATTTTTTATTTTATTAATAATGTTTCTATTAATGTTTAGACAAGGGCAAGCGCACAGCCAACAGTCGGAAGAAACGCGAGTGTGGCATAAACGTGACAGTAAATGGCAGAACGTACATTTTCACCGCAGCGGAACGGGATCCTCCGGAACGGGACAGTTTGACTATGCCCATAAGTAAACTCCGGTAAGACTCGAAAAAAATTACTTGACTCGAAATTAAATAATATCAAGCATCATTAGTATTCTAGCTAAAGATACCGAAGTCCTCTTTACAAAAATAAAGTTTTAAAAATACACTTATAGTCACATCTTGTAAATGTTGGCATCTAAGTAAGTGCGGATTTTTGTTAGAAAATCAAAGATATTGTTCTTTATGTTACGTAGTTATAGAATTTATTAAAACTCTCCTTCGATAATTCAGGTTGTTGGGTTATAATTTAACTCTTGTATCTATGGACTGTATTAAACACTGATTTGTTTGTATTTTGTGTATTTGTTGCAGTTCTAATTACAATCACTGATTTGTTACTAAGTTATAATGAAAGAAGATATATTTATTTTTATTGGTTATTTACATGTTGTTAAGCGGACTTTACTTTTTGAAGTGAACAACTAGTTCAATTAAAACACTCCGCTACCCCCTCCACCAGGGGTAGCAACCATTCCGTGTAAAGCTTAATGCCCTGAAGTTTGTCACCTTCATGGTCAATATAATAAAACGAAAAGACGTCCGAACAGATATTTTTTCATGAAACTAAATATTTTGTATTTTATTGCCCATTTTTATAACTGACTTTTGTCAATTATTAGGCTTCATTATTATTCATCATTATTCTTTCTTTATAATACTTCTAGTTTTTATTAGCAAAAAACTGATCAAGGTACAATCTGACGTCATAATCATGATTTTTTTTTAAATTCAAGGGTTTTCTAAAGATCGAAACTATAGTAATCAGATTGGAGTTAAGGTCAGGACTATATGCTAGATGTGGCAAAACTCAACCAAGCTTTAATAATTTTTACCGAGTGGCCAAAAATATGTGATCAATAATAAAATCGAAACGGTGATTTTTTGATTTACCAACTCATGCTGCTTTTTGATTTACCAACTCATGCTGCTTTTTTCAACCACATTTTTTCAATTGAATTTTGTTAATTGTTTATTGTACACATCACAATTGATTGTTCAGTTTGTGATAACAGTTCAAAGTAGACAAATCTTTTTTGATCAACTGCAACTGAACGACCAGAGCGTTCTTCATCTTTGATTAGAAAATCACCAGATCAAAATTGGGCAAACCAATTTTGGCACTTCCGTTTCTTTTAAGGTTTCGTTGCCATGACCAGCGCAGAACTTTTTGTGAAATTCAGATGCCTTTTTATTTTTGCAAACATCAAAACAAAATATGATAAAAATTTTCGATTTGAATGTCTATCTTTCAGTGAACATCAAATAAAAAATACTATTTTTTATGTAACCCATGTACGACCAATATGGCCTTATATTAAAAACTTTTTTTCTCGACAAGCCGTGTCTTGTCTGATAGGCCAAGGTTTCGAAACATACTGCAAATGTACGGTTTGCGTCGGACATCTGTGATTGACGTGGCTTTCCACCAAAACTCGTATGTCAGGCATACATATCTGACACAGCTCATGAAGAACTTTCTAGCGTCAGACACATACGACTGAAATGGAGATTAACATATTAATAAAATGATATTTCATGATGAATTTAATATATATTCGCAATTTATTATATTTTCTTTCTCTTTTTCAGCGGAACAAATGCTACTTCGAGCGCAGTCGCGGCTGTTCTCCACTAAAAGTGTATTAATAATAATTAAAAAATTCTAGTTTAATGATAAATATATAAAGATATTTTATCTCTTTGATAGGATGACCATACAAAAAATATTTATGAATTAACTTCGTACATAAAATATTCCAATGGAATTAGATTGAGATGAATGGATAGAGCAAAAATAGACGTCAGGACAGAAAATACACGAGTACGAAAAAGCTTAGTTAGTGTCTCTCTCTGAAGAGAATGTCACGCGCGTTTTTTATTCACTTTAGAATCTGAACGGAGATATCGAAACTGCATTACTAGTCCAAGAAATATAGCCAAAAATTTGTATTTATTTGTTTTATACATAGAGAATTTTTGATCACTGATCTTTGCCAATGACCCAGTTAACCAGGCGCAATTGTGATCGGGAACTCGATGTATTTTATATGTGAGTTAAGACTTTTTGAAATATATCATATAAAATAAAGGTCCAAAACGCTTATTTCTGTGGGCCGCGAGGTTAAAAGTGAGCAAACTGTAAGAGATTTAATACGTTATACGGAAATAACATATATCAAATTTTTAATTAATTGTAACGATGTATTAAATAAGCCATATTAACTCGTAGATGCAAAGACGTAGCTTTTATTTGCACGCGATGGAGATTCAAAGAAATATTATTTTATATTAGTATATTTTTATTTATCAAGTTTAATCAAATATGCCATAATGGATCAGCGTAATAAATTTTATAATATTTTTTCTTTTGTAACCAATATACAGTTAACTCTTTTGCTACGGCAGCGTTCTCCCTGATACTGCTGTACAGAAAAGCAAACCGCCCAGCTGTACATATTTCCATATTTTTCAATAATGATCAATAAAAATGTATTTCAAATTTAAAAATTGCACGCCTAAAGAACTAAAAATTACAATAACATATTAGAATTCCCAATAACTCAACTTTGAGTGATAAATCTTAAAAAAAAAGGGTTGTCACACTGGATGTCGTCTATAGGCGTCACTCGTACACAAGGTAGTCATGTGGATGTTGCCTAAAGGCAAAGCTGGTAGCAAAAGGGTTAGTACACAAAGTACTCACAAGTTTTACTCATTTCATACTTAGATTTTATATGGCATCGCTTGATTAAATCGTTCATCATACATATAATTGTTATACGTATACCCATAGTGCCATATATTACTGATTTTTTTTATAAAAACCAACAGAGTTAAAAATTGATTATTAGTTTTGGCATGATTCTCATACATTTTCCCAGGAACGATAAAGTATTTGGACATTTAGATTTGCATAATTCAAAAAATGGACTTTTCAGTGGTTGAATATCGTCAGTTTCGTTTCACCGGAACCAGTATGCGCAATTAGTGACCATTCGTCTCTTAGATAGCTAAATGATTCGTATATTATATACATACACTTAACTATATTGATATATAATATATCAAAAGTATAAAAATTGACTTGTTATTTAAGGAGTCGTAGTTTTTTCTTAAAATATTAAAAAAAAATCCTATCATACATGCTCTCTTATTCATACTTATCTATCATATATAATAAAAATTAAAAGAATTTACGCCATTTTAATGAATTTGCATATAGATAATTATATATAAATATTTATAAAAAAAGAACTCTTTAATATACTGTCTTCAGATTTTTTAATGTGTTGCTGTATAAATAATTATTATAATTCGAATAGATATTATACAAAAATGTTTGCGATTTGACTCATTGTCGGTAGTGAGCCGGGAATAGTTCCATCGAGATTAAATTGTGATACAAACTCCATATATAATTTAAATTGCCATTAATTTGCAACATCTTTGAACTAAAGTATGTTTTCATATCTTTAACTAGTGTTTGATAAAAGACATTACGGCAATGAATATTTATATCGAGTTTGTCATCACATAAATGCAAGAAAATCTAGTCAAAAATCGTGTAATGCAGCGTGTCGTATATGTGCATATTAACATATTTATATAAATACATGAATATTGCTAAGTTACAGATTCATAATTGTAGTATTGATAAGTGATGTTATTTTGAATTTTCAAAGTGTTTCTGTAGAAATTTGTATAAAGAGTGGTACAGATACAAAACGTATATGTTATTCTGAACAATCTAGTCATATATAAATATTATTTCCTCTCCTCCCGAGCCACATGTAGACGCTCTCATTAAAATAAAGCCTTAAGCGAACTCGAGTCATTCTGTGAATCGACTTGGAGTGTTCTTGGCCTAACCCAGAAAATTATAACATCCTTTTAAAATAGACAAATATATCTTTGAAATGTTTACTCGTAAAATATTTCAGGTCGAATCAATGTAGTAATCGAAACAAATGACTTATAGATCCGCTGCCAATGCGTTTTTATTTATGCATATTTGGGATTAAAATGCCGCGGCTTTTTAATAATGAAACTTAAAAAATTGAATCATTTAATCACAGGGTGTTTTAGCCAAACTAAGCCGTAAGTGATCCTTTGTCGCGAATCAGACTTGCCTCTGATCCAGGTCGAAAAATTAGCATGAAAGCGATCAGAAGCATTTTGGCTATTGTAAAAAAAAAAACGTTTTAAGATTTTAACGTGTAATTGAACATTATAGACACTATTAATACTAATTATTCGCATATGAAGCCAGATACAAATGATTTCGGGCGCGTACTCTTGCAATGCCTTTGATGACAGAAAATATATACAGTTTTTTGAAAATATAATATAGTGTTAAAATTGACTACTGATTGAATTTTGATTTATTTTACCTAGCATGTGGACGATTCTTTTATGAAGCTTGCGTCATATATATTATATATCAGACAACTACCTAACATCAGTGTAAAGCACTAAATTTTAGGTGTTTTGTCATAAATTACACATAAAGAACTTTAAAGTTCCAGATATTCAATATAAAAAGGTTTTTATATTAAACTCTTGTTAATTACTTATTTCTATTATAAGTTATTTATTGTTATACTTTCTATAAATATATATAAATATTAATTATGTTAATACTGTTTGTTTCAAAGGAATCAATATACTGCTACGAAAAACTGAGATACTAATTAACACTAAATCTAATAACATACATTTGGATAATCGAGCTACCGTAATGAATTATAATATAATAGATTAAATCTATTTTTTTTAAAAACATAAAATTGATAAATAAATATCAATTCGAAGTAAAACTCGACACATACTTCACAACAATATCCAAAATCTTGCATCAAAGATTTATGCATAGTTTTTATTTTGCTCGATGGGTTTAGTGTTAATTTATTTTTTCATATCATATGGTATATCAAATATATCAAACCATTGAATAAATTAATGGTATAATTGATTCTGCAAACTAACAGTTTAAAATATTATCGCAATCTGTAGTATGTATTAATTTTCAACGATTTTACACAATTTATATATCTCTTTGATATAGTAATAATTGTTTTTGTATAGACTGTAATATTAATTCCTCTTAAACTTTTTTGAAATTATTATTTATATTGTTGCAATTTAGTCAAGTGAATTCGTATCTCATGGAATATAAAACTATGTTCAATAGAGATAGAAATTTCAACTATTGAATTACCTCATTCATGACAAGTTGCTTATAAGTCCCAAAAAACAATTGTAATATGTATATATATAACTGCATGTTAAAGTACTTAAAATCCATTTGCGTCTGATAGAAACTAGTTTGTAATGCATTTGATTTCATTGATCTTTACAATCATTTTGCAACTAGCATAATCTAATTTTCTAATATGATACGATTTTATTATAGAAAATATAATGTTCTGAACATATTTATAATCTACTAAATCACATATTTTAATAATAAGAATTACTTTTCACTGAATCTTTTTTCAAAATTTCGAATTCATAAAAAATTATAGGACATAAATTAAACTTAATTATAGCAAAATATTATACAACGCCGGATTCATAATTCAATCATTTTATATTAATATCTTAGAATACACTTCACTGCATTGTAAATACATTTATTATACAATATTCATAGTACGTTCTAATTTATTAATATTAAATCTGCACAAATTTGTAAGGTGGTAAATCATTAAATGAGAAATCGGTAAAATGACCATTTTGTTTCCTAGTTATTTTATGCAAAGTTCAAACGTGATAAAAATTCAAACTCGATGGTAATGACAAGCATTGCAGTGAATTGTAAGCAAATAAATATATAATTCGACTGAAAGAATCTTGTTATTGACTTGATACTCTACTTCATTGTTTATTTATTAAGACCTATTTATAACCATAGAAATTTGGACTTTGCTTGTATGTTATAGCTCTCATGTCAAACTCTTTCATGAAAATAAATATTATTGTCAAGATTTTATTTTATTATGCTAATTTTCAATTTTAGGTTGCTACCATAAGGTTTCAATGTTGAATCCCAGGTGTGTGAAAGGAAACAGTGGTGATGTCTATTTTCACTGGATAATATAGATCAATAGTTTGCAAGTAAAAATAGCGGGCAATTAGAGGAAGACTACCAATGGGGAATGCTGTTCAAAGACAAACAAACAAAAAATAATTATAATTTATAAATTTTGTTGAATACTCTGTTTGGATGAATTTGTAAAAAAACAGCAAAGTCCCTATAAATGAGCATACATTGTTGTCAGCTTTAATCATTTTATGTTAAATATCTCAACAATTTTGGTCCAAATCTTAACATGGTGTTCACTATAGTGTATTTACTTATTTCAGTATTATAGTGACAATTGGTATCGTTGCTTAAAAGGTTTCCAAATCCAGGCTGCACCGCCCCCATCCTCTATTTCCACTTGATACAAGTTCTTGAGGTCCAGGAAGTCAGTGAGTCAGTCTTTCACAGTCCGCTTTAGAGGTCCAACTTGTCCTACAAATGACAAGCTGGTGGGACCCATAGTTTAGTTGTAATTGTAAGTGTGGAATACCATTTACAAGAAGACAAGTTCAGTTTGAAGGTCAGATCTCTTATTATTAGCTGTAGATATTTCCCCCATATAATAGTGTAAAAAAAGAATAACAAATATTAGTTAAAGAACATGGCTGTATGCAAGTGCAATCATGCTCCACAAATAGTTGTAAATAGATAAATTATTTATTGAATAGGCTTATTTACAATGGTAATCCCGATTTCATTTGTGCTGCTACTACCCCCCACTGGTAATTACAGGTGTTTTTAGAAGGCAAGAAAAGAATGCTAGAGTTTATGCTTAAGATCTCAAGATTTAGGGATAGCAATGTTGAATTACATTGCATAAAAGTTTGTGCCCCCAAAAGGAGAGTAGCCCAAAACACTATATACAAAAAATTTTGTATTGAATTGGACTATGGCATTGGGGCCTGACTAAACAATATGTCACCGTCATACATTTCTTCAAATATGTATATATATAGATATATATATATATATATATATATAATGTGGCAAAATTTTCAAGGCAGTACATCAAACAAAAAATTGTGGAAGTTTATAAAAAATCATTAAACAGTCCAACATGTCGATATATTATTTTATATCATCTACTTTAGAATTTGAAGAATTTGCTTTCCAATACTCCTCTATTATTCACTACATAAATTATTCATTAACTACAAAAAATAATATATTTAGTGAATAATTGAAGTATTTGAAAGCTTTTTTAAATTCCACTGAAAATGATATAAATAATATTGAAACATTTGGCTATTTAATAAAGATTTTATAAACTTCTA